CTCACTTTGCAGCTAGATATGTGGAATGGCTATGAGGATATCCCTCGTGATGTAAGAAATCTATCTAGAAACAATGCGTAGCCACCGGAATACTTGTTCTAGGAGCCTAGATACGCCTGATCTTCGCATTCACACATCCGACCCAGCGTTGCTTGGCCCTCGAAATCCAGAGGCTAGATGAGAAATGTGACTCTCTCGTCTCCAACTGGTGTAGTTATGTAAAGTGTATCTTCAAGCTTGTTCTCGACTTCCGCCACTGAGTATCTCCAGCCCGCTCTGCCTCCGTTGTCGTAGGCACGCGAGCGCCTTCCGAACATTCCGACTTGTCACGCGTCGCACACATGCCGTGCCAGCAAAGCTAGTAAGGCTGACCACAAGCGGAGTGCGTTGGTGTGTGTCTGCGAGAAAGTGTATTATTGGGGTGAGATTTCCAGCTTCTTATGCATGTGTACCACCGAGTTTACAGAGCGTCTTCCATGGCGCTGGCCGCTGGTTAAAGTTTTAGACCTGTCGCCATGGCATTGCAGCGCGGCACATGCCATTATGCGCCCTAGAGATATTATTCACGTGACAACACCGGCTCTGCGCTCTTCGGTCGGCGGAGAGTTCAGGCAAAGGCAAATACTGAGCTCATCACTCTTCCTATCAAGTGCTACGGCTGATAGAAACCTCTCTCCCACGCCGCTCTGCGAGCCAGAATTGGTTTGCACATACATATGATACAGGTCTTGCAGCGGCTACAACCTTGGATGCACGAGGTCTGGATTCTCCATTTCTACCTCTCTCTCCGACAGCGCGGGCACGGCGGCTGGGTAACAAATGCGACGCAGATAGTTTATGTGAAAGAACATGGTATAGTGAAGCTAGTAACAGCGTGCTTATCATTTTCAGCTTCTCTCGCACTTGTCATCCGCCTGGTCTGGGCAACTTCTGCTCAATATCAATTCAACTAGACACGCCTCGTTCCAGCTACATAAATCACCATCGCCCCATGGACGTGGACCCGACACAATGCACACTCGCCGAGGCCGGTCGAGATTGTCAAAAACATTTATCCACTTTGAGGAGCCATGTGCATGCAAAACGATGCCTTCACTGCAGGCGCGTGGGGCAGTGGTGCAGTGGTACAGCGTCCAGGCTTACCAACTGCCCACCCTCGGTAGGAGGTTGGCAGCTTTCCCGTCAACATGGTAGATGGCCAGTCTCATTCTGCCAGAACCCGACTTCATCTCGCGTGACGCTGGTATTTAGAACGATGGAGGCACATCTGCATATGCAAAGCTGTGGAAACCTTCTCTGCCGGTCATTCCTCGTCACCGCATGACCCTCTCGAGCCAAGACGTTCCACACTCGTCCCTGCGACCGAAGTTTAGGACACGAAAGTCTTTTGAGAAGATTGCCAATTAATTTGCCCACGCGACGCTGATAGTGTATCACCCCCAAGGAAAGAAAACGTAAGAATCACAATTAATCAAGCCATCTTCGACATCTCATCACCTATATTGAATACACCCAAACGGGAGGCCGACCCCATGCCATTCCGTATGTTGTTGATGGCTGACCCCAACGTGAGGCTGTTAGTCGTAGTTCATGGCTCGGAGTTTCATGCTTATAAAAGTGCGAAAGATCGAGACTCCATAAGGAATGTATTAATTCATGCCTGCAGCATCTATGTACTTCCACACTCATAAGTTAAGGGCCAACCATGTCCATCTATGGTCCTGGTGGGCATGAAATTCTGGTAGACAAAGTTATACTAATGCGGATCTCTTTCAGAGTTGATTGAATTGGTTTTCCTCCACCATAAGGAATCTATCTAGGTACTACATACATCTTGAGTATTCTACTAATTCCAAATATAGACTAACTATTAGATTGCCCATGCAAACTACACAAATCCCCGTTCCATACATGTTTCTAAAATTGGCTGTGACATTATCATGGGCAATAGAAGGAATGAAACAACAAGTTTTATTGTTTTGTTCATTTACGTGCTAGGTATATTGTTTCCCGTTGCACTCCTACTGGAGCTTGAGCACGGGTGGGGCCGAGCCGGATCAGGTTATCTACCATTAAGTATATCTACCTCTAAGTATATCTACCTCGTCCCACCTGAATGACCGGACCACCTCAGACTTGAACCATGTATTGAATCATGTCAAGCCCAATCGTCCAGAGAACCCCCGTTTGGCGCGCCGAAGCGCAATTTCCACCTCAGCCTCGGCCACCACGCGCCCGAGCCCTTGACTCCTTCGCCATCTGTAACTTTTCCTTTCCATTCATTCCCAGCTTAGGCTCATCTTAGCATCTCCTCATCTCATCCAGGCGTCTTTTTCTTCACTGGAGGCCTCATCCAGTCGCCCACCAAGGCCTCCTCAGTTTTTGTTCCCTTTTGGTTCCTTCATACAGCATCCCTCTATCCTTCATCTGATCTCGTCATCTGATCTCGTCATCCCAGAAACTTTGTAGAATGTCCACCCCTCCAGCCTTGCCCCGTTGCTGCCGTACCCCTAACCGTGGAGGTCGAAAACGCTACTGAGAGCTCAAGACCGAGGCATCGGCGCCCCGGCCTTTGTCGAACGCTCGAGTTGGTGTGCCGGCGAAATGTCGTACGTATTTCGTCGGTGGCGATTCGTCGCAGGTCGAGTTGTTGGTGCCCTTGGCCGAGGTGAGGACGCATCTAAGGCAGATATTTCGACCGTACCTTCACAGCGACTGGCAATTGCGTTGGGTCAGACATCCTCTTGCTTCTTTATTGGCGATTTGGCTTTTGGAGGTATGGGATTGCTTCGGTAGGTGATGAGATGATTGTGGAGAGGGCCGCGAGATGAGTTTGGCTGAGAATGAATTTCCAAAGAAAAAGAAAATAAGATCTTGAAGGTGTCGGTTGTTGTGATACGAACATCAGATAGGTTTGAGCCTGTCTGCGGTTCGTATCTGGGGTGTAGATGGTTGATTTTGTTGAGTTGTGCAGTCGAGAAATCTCTGCAAGTCGGATTTTCGACCAAAAATGAGCCAACACCACTCCTCCCGATCGCCAACTCGACGAAAACTCTCAAATTCACCCTTTGTCGTGACTGAATCTCGGCTCTGGGAGAATATTTCACTTCCAGGTTCGTAGAGGACACCACTGACTGAAACAACAAGTGAGTTGTGCGTAGGAAATTGTTCTTCCGACTAGTCGCTAGTTGTAATATATGTATGACTAAGTTAAGGCCCTTGATGCATCAGCCTCGTTCACTTGCCTGTAAATTACTTAATCAGAGGGAAAGACTGATCACCTGTAAGCGGTGTCATCTACGAACCTGGGAGTGAAATATTCTCCCAGAGTCAAGTTCAGTCAAATTTCGCAATACCAAAGAAATAGGCCCACGAGGCAATAATTGAAAATACTCCACCATATCAAATTTTCACTCCCAAAGAGATCGAATCCAACCTAAGCCTCATCAAGTCTACAAGTACGACCTAGTACATCCTCATTGCAATTACCACACCTCTCGTCGACTTTCTCTGGCCTCAGCCGGTCACTAAATACACGCGGGGGACTATTTTCAACACCTGTCAGTCGTGTCCCCTATGAACCTCCAGCTCTCACTGTAGAGTCTGCAGAGCCGAGATAGAGTAACAAAGTCCTCCTTTCGACGAGGATTCCCAATCGCTTTCGCGGTCTGTATCGTCTTAGGGCTTGTCCCTCAATATCTATGAGAACAAATTTTGGCATATTTCAAAATAAATTTCTCCAATGTAATTAGAATCCTTAGTTAGATTCACAAAGTCCTCCATAGTCTTAGACTCAGTAGGGACTATAATAAAAAATCCAAAAATCTAATCTGTATCGTCTTCATCTCTCAACACATTCCCCTTTCACCATTATCATGAAGCTAACCACGATCAGATCAGATGGTAGGGTCGGAGCCCGACTTATCACCAACCCTTGATCATGGAGGAAAAGCCATCCGATGAGTTTCCGGAGCGTGCCCAGCACCCGATACGGAGATGGCGGATTGGATCAAGTTGGCCTCGATCGTTTCAAAGAAGGGAGATATAGATGAATATGCGCACCTCATGTGGTCCCGGTGTCTAGGCCTCGCCTGGCTAGGGCTGCAGGTTTTTTGAGACTTTTTCCTGCGCACGCAGTTTCCATTGCTACCATTTTTTATTTTTTTGGGTAGAAGGTTCCGTAGAAAAGGTGGCTGAATTCCACGGGTAAACACTGAGCTGAGTGGCTATTCATCAAGGGCAATATATCAATGATCTTTCAAGCAACATGAGAGGGAAGGAGCACTGTACAAGGTGTGGCCTGGGTCAAAAAGGAGCCCAATATGCTAGATAGTCATAGACTCAAGTATTACAATAAACACACCCCGCTTTGTGTGACGAAATTTGACCGAACTCGAAGCTGAGAAAATTCCATTCTAAGGATTGTAGAAGGTTTCCCTAACGGATGTGCAGTCTTCTTTGTCCTAGGAATAGACTCGTGGTGCGAGGTTCTCCCTCTGACCAATTTAGAATGACTGTCTCAGGCTGACGGTTGAAGGAACCATGCGACTTCCACTGCACTTCGCACTTTACCTTTTGGGGTTGTGAGAGCATGTGTTGCACAAATTACACGAAATTTTCTTATGTCGCTCGTATTCTAGGGTAGATCGAACTCATCTTACTGGTTTTTGAGACTGCTAGAGTAGACGAATCTCGAGAGCTATCATGTCTCGCATTGAATAGGCCAATCGAATTACAAGGTTCATAGCCTCACCACCTGCTCTATCAAAGCTCCCAAAATCTGGCTTAGGACACAATTTGGATCTAAGGTCGATGTAGTCCCCTTTACTCCATGGCGTAGTCCGTCAGCCCTAGCATTGAGGGAAGAATACCAGATTACTCAGCGCTGGCGAAAAAGCTAGACAAGTTTCTTTACCGATAGATATTCAGGCGTAGCAATGCAGACACCGCTTTTTGGATATTGATCATTGCGCTGCGTCAAAAACTTTCCAGAATACGACATGCCATCCGATTCCCCGTCACGAGCATTAAAGTACAGAGGGGTGAGGTATTCGCGCGAGATTTCTCAGGCAAAATGAATCCGCTAACTAGACGTCTAGGCCACCGTTGAAGATCTTGATCTAGCAGCATCCCTCTCATGTTTTCCAACGGATAGTATCGACATCGCCCTTCTTTCTGCATTCGAACGAGACTACACTCATCTTACCGTAATCTCCTCAAGCAATCGAGCCCTTCTAGGCTACCTACCTATTCCGCACCTCCGTATCCTTATTGATGTCGGCAAAGTTCAACAAACAGACCCAGTTTCGAAGGCAATGATTCGATTCCGCCGCAAAGAGAAAGTCTTCAAGGTCATCACCATGCAGACACCGCTGGAAGAACTAGAGTTGTTTTTTGAAGGAAATGAAAACGGAAAGCAGGAGTTTGCCATCGTCACAGATGATCGGAGAAGATTTGTTTTGGGCGTGGCCACCAAATCTGATTTGGAAGAATTCACAAAAAAACGGCCTGCTTAGGCAAGTGCTGATGCGCACGATTCCATGAAGAATCAGGCTCAAAAGCTGAAGAGGCCAGACGATATCCGGCTGCTGCTCTTGCCCCATTACACCTAGACCGACAGTATGCCGGTGGAAAGAAACTACCTGTAGAGAATAAAGTTATTGTCAACGTCAACTAAGTAGTCACATACAAAACCCCTTGACTCTTCACCTTCCATTCAGGTCTGAACCCTGATACTTCTGTGAAGATTTTCTCCATTTCCACACCACTACGAAGCTTTGGAGGATTCCGTAATGAAACAAGATTTTAGATGTCTGGTAAGAGATACCTATAAGCTCGATAGAATGTATATCTGAATCTAAAATTACTCGAGATTGGCAAACTATTTTCGATCGCGACGATCGAAAACCTTCATAACGGAAGCCTAGCCTGGAACTATCAATAATACTGATGCAAAAATTATTTACAGCTTGCCAAAGCTGTCCTAGTAGTGCTCTCTGCGCACGCTTGGGCATATAACCCTCAATTATCCAGAGCCCAGTGCCATTCATCGACGTTGATTTGCGTTTAACAAATCAAAAGCTCTCTCGAGAACTCTGTTGGCACAACGGGGTTCACTTGGTTCAATGCCTCTAAAGTGCTATAAACAAGTGGTGTCTTTATATCTATTCTCCCCTGTCTTCTATCCTCAAGTACTGATATCTGAATGACAAATCGGAGCTAAGCGCCTGAGCTATGTCACGTGATACATTGACTAATCCTTATTGGAGTACATTTCAAAGTCAAGCCTTTTGCACGACGTTAAATAATAATAAAAAAAACAAGTCAAGCCTTTTATCCCTACGCCATTCACCTATGAACCGACACTGGCAAAAAATTTTTTTAATGTTTCCTAATAGGATTAATCAAGAGGTATGAAAATGGTAGAGAGGTAGCCTTGGGAATGTAAGATGGATTGGCTATGGGAGGAGAAATAGGAGTAACTACAGCGAGCTCTATATACATGAGGTGTGGGTGTTTGCTGAGTAATGCCAAGACTAGATTGGCATTCATGTCACGTGTAGGTGTTTCATGTTCAAGCACCTACACTGCCTTGCTCATTGCATGTTTGGAGCCCTGAGGGCGTAACTGGATTGATGTTATCCATAACTTTTGAAAAAAAACAAAAATCTCCAACCATTAAAATAATGTGAGATCTGATTGAAGCTTACTTGCTACTTAGTTGAGATTGGAACAATCAATATCTAGTAGATGCTCAGTTGGTTAATCTTGTGGACAGATCGCGCTGAACCCAGCCCTGAACTTTCACGTCAAGTTTATTGTTAGAGACTAGCTTTTGTAGGGCGTTACTGGCACTTGACTTTGTCATAGAATCGGCAGGGTTGCTATCTCCTGTAATCCACCGAATCTCTGAGAGTTCTCGTCGTTCGTAAGATTGTCGATTAGCCATGAAGTCGATCATGAGCCTCTTCTCCTTGGTAGTGCCCAGTTTTACCATGCATTCATGTAATGAAAAAGAATCTGTGCAAACAACGACTGGGATTGGGTTAGTATTCAACTGTTTAGTAATCATAGCCAGAGTTGTTGAGATTGAAATTGCCATATCAAGTCCTGCTACCATCCTATACAGCTCCGAAGCCAATATAGCACGTGTAACCCTCTTGCATTTGATGGAGCTCCAGTGAAGAATATTGCCTTTCAGTCTAAATTCACCATCCCTTGGAGCTTCATTTCCAAGAACATTTACATACCCAATTTTGGAGCTCAAGTCATGGTTGTTAGCAAAGGAGCCGTCCACAAAAACAAATAACTTGGCAGACTCCAAACTCAACGGTACGTAGTGGAGTCCTCTGTCTAAACTCTTCATCTACCATTCCAGACGTTTATTGAGAGCCTTAGCTTCTTCTTTGCCAGGATTTTGATACTGTGCAGCTACTGAACAATCGGAGGCAGCTTCTGGTTGGCAAATACTGGCGATGTAAGCGCCTCGAGCTCTATATTTAAGGTAGATCTGTTTGAAGTCATTGGGGTCGGGGTTGATTTGGTTAAGGCGTTTGCCTTGTCCATTCTGGATAAGGCTGAGGCGATCTCCATCTTTATCGATAATCAATTTGCAGCCATTAAATAACAGTGGATTATCGTGCGTTAGCTTTTTGATAGGCTTGGCATTCAAGCTGGTTTTCTTAAGCTCGAAGCCCTCTTTCTCCACGAATTTGTTATCTCCCAAAATGAGGGTGTCATCTGTTTGCATACCCACAATTCCGAACGGCGTATTCTGATCTTTAGTAATTAAAAGGCATGGATCATAGGTTGAGTTTTCCATTTCTAGCTTTGTCTTATGATGATAATGATAGGTGCTATACCAATGGGTTCCTGGTTTTGCGATGCCATATAGAGGCTTGAGTATTTTGAGGATGTCTCGAGGCAGGAATTCATCGCACATTTCTTTTGGTGGAGTGACATAGATATGACGTGCAAGCCGTGTGTTAGATTGAACGTAAGCTTGAGTGATGTCTCTGAGGAAAATTGAAATGCCACGCGGTAAGAGTAAGGGGCTATTGCCACAATGATACGCTGGCTGACCCGTTGGATAGTGGGTGATTGCGTCAAAATTTCCTTCTTACTGTGATCATTGTGCGCTTGAATTACCAGACGTGACTTCTCGTATGGCACTGCAGTTTCTTTTCCTTTCACTTCATCTACCATTCTGGAACCAAAAATCCGTCTGTGACGAAGCTCCTCATCATCACGGCAAACAAGATCATAAACCCCTTGGGACAGCAATCCATCCATTTCTTTTCTACGGGAGAGGATAAATGGGTTTCAGGGAGTGGTGATTATTTCTTATCTTCGGAGTTCCAACGAGATCTCACGATCCCTTTTTTCCTTTTCAGATAGAAACACTTCGACTTGGACACACTTCATATATTCTGTTACATGGTTGAATGAAGAAACGAAGAAATTTTCGTTTGTAGAAGCTGATATTGTAGGTGCATATTCAGTATATCGGGGTTGCGGTTTTCTTTGACTACGCCGAAGTTGCTGTGGAGCTGGCTCAGGAACGTGATTACTGGGCAGATTTTCTCTGGAGTCATTGTGGCGAATAGTTCCTGGCTGTTCTAGGTCGTCATTTCGCTCTTCATTCTTAGTATGAGGCTGTACAACTGTACTCCGGAAGTTAACAGCACGACCATCAATATTAACTTGGCAGGTTTGACCATCCATCCCCACAAGATTAAAGGGGCCTTGCCATCCTCGGCCCTCTCTATAAGCAACAACAACTTAGGAGTTGAGGGGGAGTGTCTCAATATGCGCAGTAAGTGGCCCATTCCTAGTATTGAGAGCATCAGCTACCTTGCGCGCCGCCATGCATCTCCTTGCTTCCACCATGGCCTTTTTCATAGTAGCAGCACGGATGAAAGTTGAAGCGGCTGGAGCATCTGATAAAGCCATTCTCGGGTAAGCCCCAAACACAAGAACAGTTGGAACTAGGCCGTTTGGCCCCACAATGTCATTCAATGCTTTAAGTGCCATTTGCAACTTCATTTCCTTTGAAAACAAGGAATCTTCTTCGCTAATAATCTTGTATACCCACCTAAGTGGGATTTGGTATCTCTCCACGCGGCCAAGAGATTGGTGTGCTTCCACAGGCTTCATCGAAACCTGTCAAACATCTGATGGTTTGGAACCTACTGAATATGGTAATGAGAATCATTGGATAGTGGGATGACACATCTTATCAGATTAACTAACTCGAGCTTTGATATCTCACCAGTGATATGGTGATCAGGATGACTAGGATGTTCAGGATGTTCAGGATAGTCAAAGCTCTAACATGAGATCTTTTGGTCTTCAACACATGTAATATATTTCATATGTAATTTTGGGAAACGAGGAGAAGATAATCTCTCCTCGAGATAGTTTCAGATGGGTATATAGCATCACTGCTGGAGAGGAGTTGAGGAGCAGAGATTTCATCAATACCACTTTACTTTACATTTTTCATTTGACCCTCAGTGTCTAACAAAACCTCAGTGTTTATCAACCTGGCACTGTCACGAAATTCCTGTGCATTGAAGTTAGTTCCCGGATCATGAACCACATAAGTCGGGGGCCGATATATGTGTCAATCCAAGCTTGCCTAAGGGTATTCCATGTATGTTTGGCTGACTTGTTATTAAGAAACTTACCACCTTGGAAGTTGGTTGCTTCGTCAACAATATGAAGAACTGGGCCATCATCAAGGGTTAACACATCAACAAAAAGAGTATGATTGAAATCACAGTCATCTTTTAACGTGAACTTAAATCGACCAGGAGATTTGCGATTCATTTGACACTGCTTGCAGAACTCAGTAAGCTGATTAAGCGCTTCATAATTTGTCTCATGACCAGCTCGTTCAAGAACTTTGTGAAAACACTGGGTTGATGGATGACCAAATCTACGATGCAATCGACGGAGTTCTACCTCTGTCAAATGACAAGAAACGGTGTTTGCGTTCTGAGGGCCAGAATTCACATATGTTAAGGCTTTTGCTTCATTTAAAAACATCCAAGGGTGACCGTATGCTCTAACAATCGGAATACGCCTATTCCCTTGGACGAGGACATTCTCTAAGTTATCAAATTTAACACCCAGATCGTCCAATTCTTTGAGAGATAATAGAAATGGCGTTTCTGCAGAAACTATATGAAATACCACTTTCCCAATCGGTGTTATTACATCTGCAGTTCCCAGGGAAATGGTTTTTCCGATCTCAAATTAAACATTAGCCTCTTCAGCTCTTGATCTATCAAGCTCAATATTTTGTGTCTTTGGAAGCGCAGTGAATTGGCCATAGCCAGCTGTTGAACAGTTTGCAGCCCCTGTGTCAATCATTATTCCCATGAAGACACCTGAAGGGTATCGGCCAGAGAGAAACGCGTTAACTTCAGTGGGTGAATTTAGTTCGAGTTCTGGGCCAAAATTAAAGCTGTTGTAGATGACATGCATGACTGATTGACGTTATAATTCCTGG